CATGCTCAGCCAGTGAGCGCACCGGCCATCCCTATATAGGATCTGAACCCGCGGCCTTGGCACTACCAGCGCCGCACTCTCCCGAGTGAGCCACGGGGCCAGTCCAAGTAATTTTATCTTTTAAAACACCACCCTGTATGTGTTTAAAACTGAAATAGAAATGGGAAGAAATCAGAACTTAACACAATCTCTATCTATTACTAGTACTACTACTACCACCACTACTACTACTATTAAAAATCTATGTCTTGGGTATAAGATAACATAGCAAAAACCAAGGCTTTAAATTTGATAACTTTTCTTATTGTCATTCTATCTCGGCTTAAGGCATAATGCTGCTATGTAAAGTAATGACTAGACAAAGTACAAAATGATCACGATGCAATGAGTGAAGGGCAAATCATGTATTTTCCATGGAAAAATATATATCAGAAGTTGTTCATGTACACTTTTGTTAAATTTTCTGTTTTAAGTGAAATATTGGGAATATTGGTTTTGCACCCAATTGTTTATCCAGATATGTTCAAAGCAGAGAAATCTCAATGGAGCAAAGAAGACTGAAGCATAAATGGAAACTTTCCTCAAAGAGATCTGGAAAGGTTATGGTGAGCCAGTTACTGAAGCGTACTACGTATTTCTGTGCTCTCTGCTTTCTTAACCTGTGAGATGTGACCTGATTTTTTCCCTTTCATTCAAGGTCATCTTTAAACTTACAGAAAACCAAAAGAAAATAATACAAAGGAGGAATAGACAAAGAAGAGTTCAGATGCATATTTTAAAATACCACATTGGTTTAAAATAACTTACGATGAAAGGGTCACTTAAGAAGGGCACTGCTTAAAATTTAAGCAGGCAGTAATGGAAAGCGACAGACCTCAAACAATTTAAGCCTTTCACACTTGAGTGAATTCACAGTGACAGCAAGACAAGGATGTGCTAACTTACCTCTGCAGGACCTTGGCTATTGCTTCATAGGCTCTCCCCAGGCTGAGATCATCATCCAGGTCTGCTGAGATTTTGCTGTATGTGTTAAGGGCCTATCAGGAAGAGAAACACATACTGAACATACAGCATGTCCAAATATACTGTTTCATTTCAAAACAGAAAAGATTAAAATTAATAGTTGTTTTTAACGCCTCTATAAATTTTTTTGTTTGTTTATTAAAAATTCATGTTGGTTTGGTTTATTTTTGTCTATAGTATAACTTGTTTCATGGCAGTCTCTTTAAGCCATGACAGTGAGGTCTTACTTTTGTAAAAATAATTGTTTTTCTGCACAATCCCAAATCTTCCAATTTATGTAACTTACGTGTGAATAAATAATTGAATGGTTTACAACAGTATTTTAACGTATGGGACTATTATCTAAGGTGATATAAGACAGATTATAATATTCTACTATGATAGCTTAAATATCACTTTTCTTTCTATAAATAGCTATTTGAAAAGCATTAATTTAGATGCCAGGCAATTTCTGAATCTATCATTTTATTAGAGGCATATCTCACAGTGTGTACACGTATACAGTATACACTAAAAATATTTCTTACAAATGTACTCCATTACCAACAATCTCTTCAATAATCGAAAGATTACAGCTGCCACAGCCAAACATAGGATCTTAATTTAATTTAACACTGACATCATTTGTATGGTATAATATTCCTCCCTCCCCCCCCCTTCAATGGCCAGAAGGGAAAAAAATACATAAAACAAAATCCCCATTCTTTCTTCTTCCTTTATTGTTACTTGGCCCAATCTATTACACACATGAGGACACAGGAAATCTCCAAGGACCTCTATGGAAATCCTTTTTGCACATTTTCTAAGAATGAATTAGTGAAAGTCATTTGACGGCATTTGGGAGAGAGAGTCAGTGTGAGGGAGGATGTAATCCTGCCACATGTACTACTGCCTGGATTAGGCAGCCTAGAAGGTTTAAGTAGTAGAGGCAGGGTTGATATTCATCTTTACTTTCTTGAAGTTAAGATTTGGAGAATAACTTCAATGAGACCATTGTGATATGTCATAAAATCTGAGTTTCTTGTGGTTTACAAGTGACTGCTTGACATGCTGATGTTAAAACTTACTCTCAGATATATACTTACCCAAGGTTCAAATTCCTGCTAAACCAGCAAAGTTCAAACTTTTGGTTTTTATTTTTTATTACTTAAAAAAATTATTCACTTTTAATTGACAGACAATTGTGTATATTTATAGAATACAATGTGATGTTTTGAACTATGTGTACATTGTAGAAAAATTCAATCAAGCTAACATGTTAATCATCTCACCAAATTATATTTTGAAATATACAATACATTATTAACCCTGATTCTTATTGTTAAACCTCTTAATGAGCCTGAAAATATTCCTTTCACTCTGTCTTACATAACTGACAACACTTAGATTTAATCTCACATGACTTAACATAGATCTTTCTGAGTAAAGGGGCAGAACCACTGAATTTTGTGAATTTATGAGATCTTATTGAATCCTAATACCAAAATATATAGGAAGAGACTTTCTAGTGTCTTTTTTGTCCATATATTATTATATGACATTAATTGAATCCTAATACCAAAATATATAGGAAGAGACTTTCTAGTGTCTTTTTTGTCCATATATTGTTATATGACATTCTAAAAACTTTTTTAAAAGATTGAATATTATTATATTTTGTGCCAAAGTAGTTTATTTTTTTTTCCAGCAAATACTGTTAATGTGTCCCAAGCACTACGTTAGACTGTAAGAAATCTCAAATACATGAGAAAAATACTTGCAGCCCTCAAGGCATTTACAGTCCAATGGTACAGACATTGGACTGATATGACTATGTGAAATAGCAGTGACTGAAGATAGGCTTCTCCAGGGTTTCATCTGTGCTTGTACTGTACCACTTACCCATGCTCCTGGCCACGTTGGGCCCTGAAGTGTATGGTAACAAACAGAAGTGCCCAATTTTATCTGAGAGGGGTGATTCTTTAGTTCATGGATAGGAGGGTAGGTGGCTAAGAAATTACAGGTAGATGTTTCACTATTGATGGTTCCCTTTCCACACCAGTGTGCCATACTTTCAGGGAACAGCACGGGGCAAGAAACAGCTCAGTCTTGGATTTTAGCTTTGGCCCTAGACTTAATTCTATAACTAGCTCACATGGCAAGAAACAGCTCAGTCTTGGATTTTAGCTTTGGCCCTAGACTTAATTCTATAACTAGCTTTCTCATGGAGACAGATGTGATCTACTGGAATAAACACTAACCTAACCTTAGAATAAGAAGACTTCAATTCACATCTTAGTTCTTCCATAACCAACACATCTGAGCCAGGAAAGCTCATTTAGTTTAGTTTCCTCATAAGTAAAAAAGACAACCTATTTCAGAGAGTTGTTGTGAGATAATATAAAGTGCTTTGTAAACCAGAGGAGAAGAATTCTTTGCAAATTTGTTAACCAGCCACTACTGAACAGCTCCTCATGGGAGTTTCCCTCCTCCAAGTAAAGACAACCCATTTTATTTGTGGTGTGAATGAGTCTGGGTATTTCTTTAAACAATTTACCTAAAAACAGGAAATACATAGGCAGTAGGAAGAATATAGTCCATTATTGGCCAAACAGGGTAACAGTCTACCTGAAATCCATACTGAGCTGTCTAAATCAAAGACAGGGCCTCTACTGCTCAGAAATGTGAGCTCTAGTGGGAGGAAACACATACAGGTGAAATCCTAAGAATACCCAGCAGATCGGTGAATTGTGCAGTTTAAACTAAAGGCAGCAGGAAGGCATTCATTAAAATAAAAATAAAAAGAAATCATAAAAATAAGTGGGAAAATAACGTGAAATTTTGAATTCTTTAGAAGTTAAAGATGTTTTATACTGATTTATGGGAAGCTACCATATCTGCTTTTTAAAAGTAGGTATAACTTACAAATTAATAAATATTAAAAATGTTGAATCATTAGACAAGGAGTGGAACCTTTTTTACAAAGAATGTTTCAAGTGAGAAAATACAGTATGGAAATCTGAGAGGTCCACTCTACTTGACTGAATATCCCTGTGGCATGCAATATATTGGAAACAAATCCAGGATCTGGATGGTTAGAATCTATCATGGCAAATCAAATATAGGTGAGAATACAGAACCCCGAGGTGCAAAATGTTGTGATGAATTGAAAATTCATGTATCTTTAAAGTTTATGGGCAATTAATTTAGTCAATCTTTATCAAAAGACAGAGGTGAAAATAGAGATTTAGCACATTACTATGTAAATTTCAATGAACACCAAAATGCGGGATAACAAGGTTACTAAAGTTAGAAAAGTCAATTCATACACCTAATAAACATTGAGTGCTTCATGACCTCTCAATCTAACTTCTCCAATAATTTCAGCGAATAAGGGAAATGAAGCTTTGAAAACTTTCTCACTGGACTTTAAAGATAACAGGCTATTTTTTCACCACAATGAAATTGATGTATTTGGAAAAGCATTTTTTAAAAAATCCAGTTTTTAAACTGGACAATGAGATAATTACTACCAGTCACCTTAAAACAAAATTAGCAGAATACTTAGCATAGAAAACGAGACTGTGAAAAAGCATAATGGTGGTGATATGCTACAAATTCTTTGAAGCATTGTTTGCTGTAAAATCAAAATTTAAAGACCAGTAATTTCTTTTATTGCAATATCCTTCAAAGGACCAATAGATTTAGATCAAGATTGTCACCTGTCAACAGAGTGGGATATCTGTTTATCTCTCTATATTTGTATCTCTGTGCCTGTATATCTCTATCTATCTATAGAATAGAAAAGTATACTTGCCCTCCCAGAATTTAAGAATTTAAAATTTATAAGAATAAATTTTGTGCCTGAACTTTAGCACCTTTAGCATATGGGAAGACATTATTAGGTCTAATAATATCAAACAGCCAGTTGTTTTGTTTTTCCAGTTATGAGGATACCTTGGAACAGAAGAAATTAAACTATTTGGTATTGATTCCTCTTCCTGCCTTCCTCTATTTTTCTCTTCCTTACCCCTCTGTAATTCTTCTCTTATATGCTCTTTGCTGTAGACAACATTAAAACAAAAAAATTCCAACAATCACAGCCCTCATGTTCACTTTCACAACTGAAACTTAATTTAAACTACTACAATGAACGGCTATCACTCCAGACCTCTCTTTTTTTTTTTTGATATTAGAAAAACATTTTTATTATGATGTTAATATATTGTAGGAACAATCACAGCCCTCATGTTCACTTTCACAACTGAAACTTAATTTAAACTACTACAATGAATGGCTATCACTCCAGACCTCTCTTTTTTTTTTTGATATTAGAAAAACATTTTTATTATGATGTTAATATATTGTAGATATTCTTACATAAAATAGAAAGGCTATAATTCAGCTTTTAGAAGCAAAGATAAGCCTTGTATTTCTAAATGCAGGAACAACATAAAATTATAAAATATGGCATGAAACTAATATAAAAATTAAACAATTATAAATAAATTATACTATCATTTAGATACATGTTCAGAAAGTGCATGAAAATTTTACTAATAACTTTTGTATGCAGAAAACTTAAACTTACAAACCAAGTATTTTAATAAATATGGGGAGCCTACCAATTATCTAATTCAGTTCTTATATAATGTGTAAATTCAAGCATGTTATTTCAGAATTTCTAGAGCTATAATCACAGAGCGCAAAGAGACCACCTACAGATTGGGAAAATATATTTGAAAACTATTCTGGTACATCTGATAATGGGTTAATTCCAAAATACATAAAAATCTCAATGTAACCACCCCCTCCCCCTCAATAACAATTAAAAATGGGCAAAAGTCCTGAAGAGACATTTTTCAAAAGAAGATATTCAAATGGTCAATAGTGTTATGAAAAATTTTTTTCTTATTTATTTACTAACACATATTAATTGTACATATTTATGGGATACAGAGTTATATTTCAATACATGTATACAATGTTTGATTATAAAATCAGGGTGGTTAGCATATTTGTTATCACAAAAATGTATCATTTATTTAGTTATTTATTATTGATTATGCATATTCATGGGGCACAAAGCTGACTGTCACTACCTGTGTATGGGATGTGATGATGAGATCAATACTACAGTATGCCCTTTACCACAAATTGCCATTATTCCCAGTGTACTCCACACAACCTCTCCCTGACCTCCCTCCACCTCCATGCCTGGCAACCCTAGGTATGTTCTCTCCCTCTGCCAGTCCAAAGCACCACTCTGGTCTTTCTTTCCTTCTTTCTCTCTTAGCTTCCACTTATGATTAAGGACATATGAACGGCTATCACTCCAGACCTCTCTTTTTTTTTTTGATATTAGAAAAACATTTTTATTATGATGTTAATATATTGTAGGTATTCTTACATAAAATAGAAAGGCTATAATTCAGCTTTTAGAAGCAAAGATAAGCCTTGTATTTCTAAATGCAGGAACAACATAAAATTATAAAATATGGCATGAAACTAATATAAAAATTAAACAATTATAAATAAATTATACTATCATTTAGATACATGTTCAGAAAGTGCATGAAAATTTTACTAATAACTTTTGTATGCAGAAAACTTAAACTTACAAACCAAGTATTTTAATAAATATGGGGAGCCTACCAATTATCTAATTCAGTTCTTATATAATGTGTAAATTCAAGCATGTTATTTCAGAATTTCTAGAGCTATAATCACAGAGCGCAAAGAGACCACCTACAGATTGGGAAAATATATTTGAAAACTATTCTGGTACATCTGATAATGGGTTAATTCCAAAATACATAAAAATCTCAATGTAACCACCCCCTCCCCCTCAATAACAATTAAAAATGGGCAAAAGTCCTGAAGAGACATTTTTCAAAAGAAGATATTCAAATGGTCAATAGTGTTATGAAAAATTTTTTTCTTATTTATTTACTAACACATATTAATTGTACATATTTATGGGATACAGAGTTATATTTCAATACATGTATACAATGTTTGATTATAAAATCAGGGTGGTTAGCATATTTGTTATCACAAAAATGTATCATTTATTTAGTTATTTATTATTGATTATGCATATTCATGGGGCACAAAGCTGACTGTCACTACCTGTGTATGGGATGTGATGATGAGATCAATACTACAGTATGCCCTTTACCACAAATTGCCATTATTCCCAGTGTACTCCACACAACCTCTCCCTGACCTCCCTCCACCTCCATGCCTGGCAACCCTAGGTATGTTCTCTCCCTCTGCCAGTCCAAAGCACCACTCTGGTCTTTCTTTCCTTCTTTCTCTCTTAGCTTCCACTTATGATTAAGGACATGTGGTATTTTCCCCTCTGTGCCTGACTTATTTTACTTAACATAATTTTCTCCGAGCTCATCTGTGTTGCTATGAATGGCAGAATTTTATTCATTTTTATGTCTGACTAGTATTCTCAGTGTATATATACCTCATTTTCCTTATCCCATCATCTGTTGATGTACTTCCACATCTTGGCTATTGTAAATAGAGCTGTGATGAACGTGGGAATGCATGGGATGATTTCCATTTCTTTGGGTGTATACCTAGAAGTGGGGTTGCTGGATAGTGTGGTAGATCTATCTGCAGTTGTCTGAGAAACCTCCATACTGTCTTCCATAGTGGTTGTACTAATTTACAGTCCCACCAACAGTGTAGGATGGTTCCCCTTTCTCCACATCCTCACCAGCATTTGTTATTCTCTGTCTTTTTGATAATAGCCAGTCTAACTGGGGTGAGGTGATATCTCAGTGTGGTTTTAATTTGCATTTCCCTGATGATAAGTGATGTTGAGCACTTTTTTAAATACCTGTTGGCCATTTGAATGACTTCCTTCATGAAATGTGTATTCAGCTCCTTTGCCCATTTTTTAATAGGGTTATTTGTTTTGATACTACATAGTTTGAGTTCCTTGTATATTCTGGATATCAATCCCTTGTCAGACATACAGTTTGCAAATATTTTCTCCCATTTTTTAGGCTGTTGTTTCATTCTGTTGATTATTTTCTTTACTATACAGAAGC